CCCCCCCCTCCTACATTTGCCTCTCTCCCCAGGCTGCTTTGGTCCTTAGGTGTGTGTGGGCGGGGGGGGGGGGGGAATTGGCAGCACCAGCTAATCCATCCCCACAATTATTAAATTTGCTCTAATGGAAGGGCAATTAGCCCCCCAGGAGGGAGGAGCTCTGAGGAGCCGCTGGCTGCAGCCCCGCTCTGGCCTGGCTCCTGGGGTCTCTGCAGGGGAGGGTGGAGCTCCTGGCAGGTGGGCTCTGGAGCACCTGGGGCTGTGTTCTACTTTACCTGGTGCCCAGGGTGGGAGAGCTGGATATAGCCAAATGGCTTGGTCCTCCCAAGAGAGGCTAGGCTTCAAGTCCTGGAGCCCATGGAGCTCCTGTTCTTGTCCACTGGCCTGCTTTAGGACTTTGGCTGTCTTCCCTTTGCCCAGCCTCAGTTTCTCAATCTGTTATCACACTTCTCCCTGCTTCCTGGGTGTTGGTTCTCACAGTTTTGGGGAAGCCAAGTGGGCAGTGAGGGACCCCCATGAAGCTGGCCTTGATTCTGAGGGTGGTCCCCCTCTGCCCACAGGCCTCTTCAGGGCTGCCTGCCCCCACTAGCCAGCTCCCAGGTGAAGAGACTTTCAGCCTCCAGGCGCAAGCAACATTTCATCAACCAGGCTGTGCGGAATTCAGACCTTGTGCCCAAAGCCAAGGGGCGGAAAAGCCTACAGCGCTTGGAGAACAGTAAGTCAGGGAGGGGGAGGGTGGGAGGGTGCTCCCTGCCCCCTCCCCCCTAGGGAAGTTTGTGTTACTGGTTGCCCAAAGATAAGCTGGCTGCTGAGCTCAAGGCATGGGAGCAGAAAAAATACCAAGCATTGACAATCCGTAGACTTACTGCATCAGGACTTGGCCAGAGGGTATTTGGGGCATGAGACCTAGGGCTTCAAAGGATGTATAGGAGTTCAACAAGGCTGGATTGGTAGGGCCTAGAGGCTGGATGGGAAAGGAGAGGAGAAGAAGGTAGGAAGACAGGAAGGAAGAATGGTCATGGGGACCCTGAAGGCCCTTCCTAGCCCGATGACATCTGTTTCCAGCTCAGTACCTCCTGACCTTGATGGAAGCAGATGGAGGTCCACCAGGTCTGGAGGATGGGGACCTGACCCTCCCTGCAGCCCCGGGCATCTTTGCAGAGGCCTGCAACAATGCCACCTATGTGGAGGTAAGGCCCAGGGCCCCTCACCGCCCCCCTTTTGGGCGGGGAACCCATGTGCTTACTTCCTGCCAGGCTGATGGTGGAATCTCTCTTCTGGAGCCCCTCCCAGCGGCGTCTAGATGACAGCCTCAGTCTCCCTCCCTGCCCCGACCCCGCAGACGCCCCCGGAAGGTCCCAGCCCCCCCCCCTTCCACTCTCACACTGGAGTTAATGACTTCAGGAGCATTTGGCCCACAGGACCGCAGCACCTGCGTGTATACTGGCCCTGCCTGCCCAGCTCGGGCCTGGCGCGGGTTCGGCGCCCAGTGCGCACCAATGTCCACAGGAGGACTTCCAACGACTTGGCTTGCCATTGCCAAGTGGGGAAAACGAGGTCCTGAGATTCATGGCCCTCTGATCTCTGCCACTTTCAGGTCTGGAATGACTTCATGAACCGCTCAGGGGAGGAGCAGGAGCGCGTGCTCCGCTACCTGGAGAATGAGGGCCAGAGCAAGCCCAGGAGGAGGGGCCCGGGCCGCGGGGAGGACCGGCGTCGAGGTGAGGGCCGCCTGGGGGCGGGGCCACGGCAGGGGGCGGGGCCAGGGTGGGCGGGGCCACGGCAGGAGGTGAGGCATGCAGTCCTAATAACTGGGTGGGCGGGCCACAGCAGGGGGCCCGGGTGGGCGGGGCCACGGCAGGAGGCAGGGTCAGGGTGGGCGGGGCCACGGCAGGAGGTAAGGTGTGCAGTCCTAGTAGCTGGATGGGCGGGGCCACAATAGGGGTGGGGCCAAGACAGGAGGCGGGGCCTGGTGTAGGCGTGGTATAGTCACCAGTGGGTGGAGCCTGTGGTGGGTAGGGCCAGGCATTGGGCAAGGCATAAAGGCCTGACCTGTGACCCTGACTCTGGGCTCCCACAGAGGACCCAGCATACACACCCCACGAGTGCTTCCAGCGCATCAGCCGCAGGCTGAGATCCGTACTGAAGCGGAGCCGCAGCCGCATCCCCATGGTGAGTGCCAGACTTTACGTGGCTTTTTTTTTTTTTTTAAACCAGTAACCAGTCCTAGGGCTTGAACTCTGGTCCTGGGCGCTGTCCCTGAGCCTCTCTGTGTTCAAGGCTAGTGCTCTACCACTTGAGCCACAGCCCTACTTCCAGCCTTTTCTGTGTATGTGGTACTGAGGAATCGAACCCAGGGCTTCATGCATGCTAGGCAAGCACTCTACCACTGAGCCACATTCCCAGCCTGGCATGGGCTTTCTTGATGGCCCTTTTTCATGTTAGTTTCTCACTTGGAGATAAGGCTAAAGGAGGTTCCTCAGGGCAGGTGGTCATGTGGTGAGCTACAGTGGCAAATGGATCAAAGTGCTCAGGTTGCAGGACTTTAGCTACAAAGCAAGAGTTACCCTTTTGTATAGGAAGGACAAGGACAAGGAAGGTGGGCATTGCAGGGTGTATAGGAGTCCACTAGGCAAAAGGTGTAGGCTTACAGATGTTAGGTACTGGTCTAGGAATGTGGCTTAGTGGTAGAGTGTCTGCCTAGCATGCATGAAGCCCTGGGTTCGATTCCTCAGTACCACGTAAACAGAAAAAGCTGAAAGTGGCTCTGTGGCTCAAGTGGTAGAGCAAAAGAAGCTTAGGGATAGTGCCCAGGCCCTGAGTTCAAGTCCCAGGCCTGGCCAAAAAAAAAAAGAAAAGATGTCAGGTACTCATTTGTGATGTGTCAGTGGTAAGATTTGAACCTAGGGCTTTGAACTTGAGTCTGCCTCAGGTATTAGGGAGGCTAGGTGGGCACCCGCAGTGGCTTGACCTGGTCTCTCTTTTCCCCAGGAAACACTGGAGAGCTGGGAGGAGCGGCTGTTGCGGTTCTTCTCTGTGTCCCCCCAGGCTGTGTACACGGCCATGCTGGACAATAGGTAGTGGGGTGCAGGGAGGGGCAGCACGTTCTTCCTCACCATGGCCGCTCTGGCTTGGCTGTTCATGGCTGTTCCTCCACAGCTTTGAGAGGCTCCTGCTCCACGCCGTCTGCCAGTACATGGACCTCATCTCAGCCAGTAAGTATGCCCTCCCCCCCCTCAGCCCAGCTGACCCCCTCCAGCCTGGGTAGCAGAGACAAGGCTCTTCTAGGGTCTGTGTGTGTGTGTTTGTTTATTTTTCAGACGTCTGGGGAAAGGGTAGCAATGGGACTCTGTAATTCATCAGAATCTCCCTATGTGGTTGGCCCCATGCTAGGAGGCCTCAAGGACACAGCTGGACAAGTGGACAGATATCCCTCAATCCATAGCTGCAGGGCTCTGTGAGGGAGGCATCCCCCAGTGGAAAGACAAAGCCAAGGTGCGAAGCGCTCCCAAATCAGACGTGAGATGGTGGGCCTCAGTCTCTCAGGACGTTTAACATGTAGATTTCATCCCCAGGACCACCAGAAGATCTCCCTCTGTAGCCTGTACCCCCACGTCTACAATGCAGTGTGTTCTCAGGACTCTCCTCTGATGAGTTCTGCCCGTGCTAGCACCAGGTGCCCCAGCTGGGCCTTGCTTCCCACACCTGTGTCTGCCTCCTGCCTGGAGTTGCCAAGGAGACAGTTGCCATGCAACCCAGGATGGTCCCTCGCTTGTTCTTTGTATGGAAGATGTAACCCCTACGCCTGTCTTTGTTCCCCAAGACTGAGAATGGAAGAGCTTGGTAGAGTGGGAGCTTCTCTCTACAGGGGTCAAGCTGTGGCCTGGACAAGAAAAGGGAGGGCCCTAGCAAGATGGGGAGGAGGGGAAGAAGGTTCCAGGCAGAGGAAACAGTGAAAGCAACGGCCTGCGGTGGGATGAGGAAGGTGGGCCGAGGATTCTACCTAAGTTGGGAGAAGAGACCCAGAGAGGGTTGGGAGGTAAGAGGCCCAGGAGGAGGCTGGCTCCTGTGTCTACTGGGCCTTGGGACACATCCCAGTGTCCCTGTCTGTAGAGGGAGGACAGGAGACAGCAGAGAAGGAAATGAGCCACCAATTGAGAACCAGGGAGTATTAATGGTTCTTGTGAATCGAACCTGGAATCTGGGCCAACCAGACCCAGAGTGCCAGCTGGCAGCCCAAATGAGGGTCCCCAGCATCTCTATATGCTGAGATTTTTCCATTCATCTATCTATCTATCTATCTATCTATCTATCTATCTATTTACCTATTTACCTTTTTTTTTTCTTTTGGTCCTGGGGCTTGAACTTGGCCTGGGCACTGTCCCTCAGCCCTTCAGCTCAAGGTGAGCACTCTACCACTTGAGCCACAGCACCACTTTTGGTTTTCTGGTAGTTAATTGGAGATGAGAGTCTCACAGAAGACAGGCGCTGGTGGCTCACGCCTGTAATCCTAGCTACTCAGGAGGCTGAGATCTGAGGATCACAGTTCAAAGCCAGCCTGGGCAGGAAAGGCCATGAGACTCTTGTCTCGAGTAAACCACTAGAAAACTGGAAGTGGCGCTGTGGCTCAAGCGGCAGAGCACTCGCCTTGAGCTGAAGAGCTGAGGGACATGCCCGGGCTGGCTTTGAACCATGATCTTCAGATCTCAGTCTCTCAAGTAGCTAGGATTACAGGTGTGAATCACTGGCGCCCGGGTCCTTTATTTCATTTTATTTTGTGCGTATGCCCATACTGAGGCTTGAACTCAGAGCCTGGGCACTGTCCTTGAGCTTTTTCTTCTCAAGGCAGGTACTCTGCCACTGAGCCACTCTCCCCATTAGGCTTTTTGGTGGTTTATTGGAGATAAGAGTTTCAGGTCAGCTGGTCTGACAATGTGAGGATCATGATTCAAAGCATGGGCAGGAAAGTCCCTGTGAGACTCTTATGTCTAATTAACCTCCAGAAAAGCTGGAAAGGCTCAAAGTGGTAGAGTGCTGGCCTTGAGCAAACAGAGCTCAGGGACAGTGCCCGCGCCCTGAGTTCAAGCCCTGGACTGACCAAAAAAAAAAAGTCTCAAGACCAGACTTTGCTGCCCTGGCTGGCTTTGATCTTTGATCTCCAGGTCTCAGCCTCCTGAATAGCTGGGATTACAGGTGTGAACCATCAGCTCCTGGCTTCTTCTTTCTTTCTAAATTCCGGCTGTGCTGACCACAGGTGCTGACCTGGAGGGCCGGCGACAGATGAAGGTCAGCAACCGGCACCTGGACTTCCTGCCGCCAGGGCTGCTCCTGTCTGCCTACCTGGAGCAGCAATGATGACAGCTCCCCGGTGCCCTGTCTGCTGCCGCGCGGGGCCCCCAACCTCTACCATCTGCTCCCATCTTTGATCTTTTTAAAATTTGTCCTTGGAAACCTGTTCTTCCCCTGGGTGGGTCCTTACCCTGGTCCCCTCCGTGCCCAGCTCTCACAGATCAATCCTGGCAGCTGGGACTGCCCAGACTGTCCTTGTATATAGCTTCCCACTCCTGGACTTGTATTTGGGTGGGGAGACCTGACCTGGGCATGTTTCTTTATTCATTGTTTAGCTTTTTTTTTTTGGGTGTAGCTCAGGTGAGGAGGGAAAAGTCTAGGGGGGTTTAATCGCTTTTAATGTATTTGGCATGATTTGTTGTAGATTTTTTAAATTTCCCCTTTGAAGAGGAAAAAAAAACCAAAACCCCACAAATAACCCCAAAACTTGCCCTGGCTGGTAAAGCATGGGGCTTCATGACAGCTTTTGCTTGATCCCTCCCAATTTTTACCTCTGATGGGAGGGGGTGTCCTTTGGGACTCAGCCCCTTGTCCCAAAAGCATTTTGTCTTGTGCATGTATGTGTATGTATGTGTGTGTGTGTGTGTATGTGTGCACGCACATGCGTGGGTCCTCTACGCAGGACAAGCTTCATCTCAAGGGCTGGTTTTATGCTTTTAGTTATGCGTGTCTTGTGGTCCCCCCTCCCCCAGCCTGCTCTCCACTTGACCCTCTTCTCTCCCTCCCCTCCCCCTTCTATTCCCTCCCTTTATACTGGGGATCCAGGACTTCCAGCCAGAAGCCTCTGACCTCTGTTACCCCATCCCTTGTGCCCCCAGCCTGGCTCTGATTGCCCTGCCAGGAGCTGTGGGGCGGGGAGGGGGGTCCTGTATGGAGAACAGGCCTGCTTGGTGTGCTTGGGGGATGGGAAGTGTTTTAATAAATTCCTGGTGCTCTGGCAGATTGGCTTGTCTTTGTGTTGGCTAGGGATACTGGGGACCAGGCTTTGCCGTAATGCCCACATCCTGGGTAAAGCAGGTGTTCGTCCAGATGCGCTAAGCTTTGAAGCTCTACCACCTGGGCTGTCCCCAGTAAAGATCAGATGGCAGCATGTAACCTTAGACTTTCTTGTGTGGTCATCCTGGGCCCGGAGCACAGGACTGCCCAGGGCCACAGGGCTTTGTTTGCTGCCTGGCTGAGATCCAGGTCTCCCTCCTTCCCTCCCTCCCAGGCTCTAGAGAGCTAATTCCTGCCTCCGCCAGAGGCGCTCCGCATCCCTGGGCTTGTGGCCACACCAGCCTCTGCCTCCATCCTCCACGTTATTTTCCCTCTGGGTTTTCCTGTATCCAAATACCGCCCCCCCCCCATTGAAATAGACAACTAGTCCTGTTGCATCCGGGTCATCCTACCCACCTCATGGTTACTTGCAGTTTCTCTAGAGACCCTATCTCCTAATGGGGCCTCACCAAGGTACGAGGTTAGGCCTTTAGTCTTTCATGGAGGTGGGGTGGATGTGGGGGACAATTCTGACCATAATACCACTTAACCCCTGGCTTAGTTCCCAGTATGAGGAATGAGATCATCCAGTGGATTGTAGTCTGAAGCTTAGACTAGCCCTGATAAAAGCCTGAGACTATCTGAAAAATAGCCTAAAAGCAAAAGAGGGCTGAGGTATGACTCAAGTGGCAGAATTCCTGCCCAGCAAGTGTGTGAGGCTTTATTAGTGTATATGTGTATGTTGTTTTACTGGGGCTTGAACTTAGAACCCTGCACTCTTGCTTGGTTTTTTTCACTTAAGGCTGGTATTCTACTATTTGTACCACACATTCACTTTGGCCTTTTTGGTTAGTTAATTGAAGATAAGAGTCTCATGGACTTTCCTGCCTGGGCTGGCTTCAAACCAAGATCTTTGGATCCCAGCCGCCTTTTGATCATTGTTTTGAAGTGGACTTAACGTCTGGGCTGTGATCATTGCCCAGTTTTTGATGCCGTTGAAGTTTTGGGGAGGAGATTTGCCTGCGCAATCGCCAGTGTCAGGGTCTACCTGCTGCTTCTCTAAGGATGGGATTTGGGTAGTGAGAACACAGGTCTCACCTGATCAAAGCCAGCTGCTACAACATTGATGTCACCCTGCCAGGCCTCAACAGTAGCATGGGGAACTGGGCCCCACTCCCGTCCATACACTGTGGGATGTTGGTACTATATCACATATATCACATGTATCACTATGATTCTGTGTCACTATGATTCTGGGATAATTGCTTTTTTCTTTGGCTCATTATGTAGTTGACGGGCTCCTGTGTCTTTTGGAGGCAGCCCACCATTAAGGGGTTTAGTTTTTGAGCACAGGGAAGCTTTAGGCTGTGAGTCCTATAAGTGGTCATTTCTATTTTTTTCTTTCTTAGGGACCTCATGCTAGAAACCAAGTTCTGAGCTCAATACTTTGCTCCTCCTGTATGTCCTTTTTTTTTTTTTTGTCATGGGGGCCTGAACTCTGGGCCCAGGTGGTGTCCCTCAGCTCTGAGCCACAGTGCCACCTCCACAGTGCCACCTCCAGCTTCTTCTGCTTATGTGGTGTTGCGGAATCAAACCCAGGGCCTCATGTATGCTCAGGGCCTCATGCGTGCAAATCAAGTACTCTACCACTGAGCCACCTTCCCAGCCCTGTCCTATTCCTTTTTTAGCTCTTCAGCTCAAGGCTAGCACTCTACCACTTGAGCCGTAGCGCCACTTCTGGTTTTTTCTGCTTATGTGGTGCTGAGGAATGGAACCCAGGGCCTCATGCATGCAAGGCAAGCACTCTACCACTGACCCACCTTCCCAGCCCTCCCTTTCTTCCTCCCTTCCTCCTTTTCTTTCTTCCTCCCTTCCTCCTTTTCTTTCTTTCTTGCTTGCTTGCTTGCTTGTCTGCCTGCCTGCCTTCCTTCCTTCCTGCCTTCCTTCTTCTTTTCTTTCCTTCTTGTCATGGGGCTTGAACTCTGGGCTTGGGTGCTGTCCCTGCACTCTTCAGCTCAAGGTGAGCGCTCTGCCACAGGAGCCACAGAGCCACTTCCAGTTTTCTGGTGGTTTATTGGAGATCAGAGTTTCACAGCCTTTCCTGCCTGGCCTGGCTTTGAACTGTGATTCTCAGATCTCAGCCTCCTGAGTAGCTAAGATTACAGGCATGAGCCACTGATGCTCAGCTAATTTTAAAAATTTCTTTTTGTGCTGGCCCTAAGGCTTGAACTCAGGGTCTGGGCACTGTCCTGAGCTTCTTTTGCTCAAAGTGAGTGCTCTTATCACTTTTGGCTTTTTTTTTTTTTGACCCTCAGTCTTTAGATTTCAGCCTCCTGACTAGCTAGGGTTATAGTGCTGAGGTTTGAAGCCAGCCTGAGCAGAAAAGTCTGTAAGACTCTTTCAAATTAAACAGCAAAAAGAAGTGGAGCTGTGGCTCAAGCTAAGGGACAGTGCCCAGGACCTGAGTTCAAGTTCCACTACATTACTGGCACCAAAAAATAAAAAAAAATTGAAAGAGATTATGAAGTAATGTAAGTCCCTACAGCCACGGAGTGTTGGATGTAAAGATAGGGCCCACAGCCACCAGCCAGCCGATCTCCATCTGACTCCCAGAACTTCTCAGTCCTAGGCCTTTAGGTCGTACTTTTCTCAGGCAGAGTCAGTCACCAGCTGGGCAGGGACCCAAGCTGAGCAGAGTGCTGCAAAAACGCTTGTGTGCTCAGGGAGAAAGAATTCCAGGGACGTTTAAAGCTGGAAAGACCCTCAATTAAAAAAAAAAGTCACTTTGGGGCCAGGTGTCAATGGTTGACACCTGTAAAGAAAATGCAAATTAAAAAAAAAATTAAAAGACTTGCCCAAGCTTAAGCTGACTCACCTGAGAATGAACAGAAAAGCAAATCAATATGTGGCTTTGTCTGTACGACGACCTGGGTATGGGGTTTGGAGCAAGAGCTTGAAATCACAGTGTTGTATTTGTGTTTTCCTGAATCTTGAAGTTAGGAAAGGAACAGAAAAATTTACAAACTCCCCCACATTTATGCAGCAAGCCTGCTACCCCTCACAGCACTTTTCCAGTCCTTGTACGTATGCTACCGCAGTGACATCTTAAACTGCGGAGTTTATAGTATTCTATATAGTACTCTAATGGCAGTTCTTTTCACTAAGGGTGAAGCTAGTTTCCACTTGTTCTATCAGATTACCTATTCTTTTAATGATAGTAGTGTCACACCCCGTGAAAGCAAATGCAGTTCCTGACCAGAGTTGACAAATGCCCATTTTTGTTTTATTTTAAAAATCAATTCTAGTTCCAGAGGATGCTGGGACTAATATATAGATGTTTATGCAAATATCCTCCGATGGGGCGGAGCCAGAGCCGCCTGCTATCCCAGAAATCAAAGCGAAGGGCCGGCGTAACCCCGGGAAACTTGTTGAATGTGAAAAGATGGCGGCGCCGGAGGCGGGGCGCTACGGTGAATGTGGACCGCGGCCTCCTGCGAGGCTGGGCGCTCGGATCAGCCAGGTGCGTGAGGGGCTGCGGGAATCCCGAAAGGGATCGGACGGCCCCCGGACGGCGCCCGCGGCCGCTCGGAGCGTCGGGGGTGTGGAGGGCCTGTGGGCGGGGCCTGTGGGCGGGGCCTGTGGGCGGGGCCTGTGGGCGGGGCCTGTGGGCGGGGCCTGTGGGGTCAGAGGGCGGGGCTGGGAGCAGAGGGTGCTGGGAACCCGGCGCGGAGAGCGCGAGGGGTGGGGTCTGGGTCGGGAACTCCGGGTGCATCCGGCTGCTGGCGGGGGTCCGGTAAGTCCGGGGCGGGGCCTGCGGCTCGTGGTCGGCCTAGGCGGGGCCTACCAGAACCAAGGGCGCGGGGGGCGGAGTCTCTGGGCTCGGGGCGGCGTCTGGATTGTCCGGCTCTGAGCATCCTCCCGCAGGACCCTCTCCTCATGCTGTCTCCATCCTTGACCCCCTGGATCGCCATGGTCACCCTCTACCTATCCCTCAGTCAGCACAGATTGTGGGAACCTAAGTAAGTCACGCCTCAGGTTTCTTTTACTCCACAAGGGATGAGATCCCATGAGGCCCAGAGCAGCCCCCCCCATTTCCTGCCCCCCTCTCCAGCCTCTGGGCCTTTCCAATGGTGTTCCCTCAGTCTCCACCTTCCTCATCAGGGTTTCCTCCATTGGAAGTCACGTTGGCCCCCTCTGTGTTAAAACTGCAGCCCCGGGTCGGGAGCCGGTGGCTCACGCCTGTCATCCTAGCTACCCAGGAGGCTGAGATCTGAGGATCGCCGTTCAAAGCGGGCAGGAAAGTTCGTGAGACTCTTTATCTCCAGTAAACCACTCAGAAAACCGGAAGTAGCACTAAGGCTCACGTGGTAGAGTGCTCGCCTTGAGCTGAAGAGCTGAGGGACAGTGCCCAGGCTCAGAGTTCAAGCCCCATGGCCGACAAATTAAAAGCAAAAAACAAACAAAAAAAACCCAAAACTGCAGCCCCACTTGGTGCTGTGGCTCACACCTGTAATCCTAGCTATTCAGGAGGCTGAGATCAGAGCTCGAAGTTCAAAGCCAGCTTAAGCAGGAAAATCCATGATACTCTTATCTCCAATTAACAATCAAAAGAGCCAGAAGTGGAGCTGTGGCCCAGGTGGCAAGTGGGAAAACACTAGTTTTTTTGGGTTTTTTGTCGGTCGTGGGACTTGAACGTGCGCCCTTCTGCTCAAGGCGAGCGCTCTACCGCTTGAGCCACAGTGCCACTTTTGGTTTTCTAGTGGTTTATTAGGGACTTTTCCTTCCCAGGCTGACTTTGAATGGTGATCCTCAGATCTCAGCCTCCTGAGTAGCTAGGTGTGAGCCACTGGTGCCCAACTGAACACTAGCCTTAAACAAAAAAAAAGTTCTGGGAGCTGAGCGCTTAGTGGTTCACACCTGTGATCTTAGCTACTAAGGAGGGTGAGATCTGAGGATTGCTGTTTG